GTCAGCAATGTGTTTGGCTCTGAGGCAAGGCTGAAACATCCTCACCCTCCCTCCTCCCCTCCCCCATCCTGAAACAGTAATATTTCATTTGGTTGCCTTGGGGCTCCTCTCCTCCCACCTCTCAGATACTCCCTTCTGTTCTTGGTAGACCTGTATACATGTCGGTCTTCTCTAAACCAGTCAAAACCAAACTCGTTGCCATTGAGTTCATTCTGACTCATAGTGACCCTATAGGGCAGATTATAACTGCCCCATAAGGTTTCCAAGGAGTGGCTGGTGGATTCGAACTGCCGACCCTTTGGTGAGCAGCCCAGCTCTTAACTGCTCTGCCACCAGGGCTCCCGGTCCTCTCCTGTAAACTGCAAATCTCCTTTGAAAGTAGGGAAGAAAAGTCACGCAAATTTATGTCCCAACAGCAATTAGCAGAGGCTTTTTGCACAGAGCTAGGAGGCAATAAAGGCTTATAAAATTGAAATGTCCTGGCCTAGGTATCAACCTTCCATGACTTCCTTCATCCTGTCCCTCACAGCTAATCAGCTGGTAAATCTTACAGGTTCTATCATCTCAGTGTCTCTCAGATCCACCCTTTCCTTTCTATTCCCCATTGTCCTTGTTTCCTTTTTCTTCTGACCTGGGTAATAATCTCCTAACTGGTCCTCCAACAGCTGCCTTCTTCCTGGCCCAGAACATTTTCCCCAAAACTCCACTAATAACCATCCTGCTACTGCCCCGTGTGAAAATTTTACCAAGATAAGCCATAGTTCTCTCTCTTAGGATTCAAAGTCACACCAAGGCCCCAACCAACTGTTTCAGCCTGGTTCATTCAATAAATATTTATTGACCTTTGTTCCAGGCACTTGACTAGGCAGTAATTAAAGAGAAACAAAACAAATAGAATTTTTGCCCTCATGGAGGGTATATTTTAGTAGGAGAAATAAATATTAAACAAATTAAAACATAAATAGACAAGTATATAATTACAATATCTACTCTAGAGAAATAATCACTCATGTGCACAGAGAAGCAAACACAAGGATGTTCACTGCAGCATTGTTTATAACAGTGAAAAATCAGAAACAACCTACATGCTCATCAAAAGGAAAATGGCCACATAAACTGTGTATATCCAAATTTTAGAATACAGACAGTAGATGAAAAGAATGAAGTAGTACTTACGTACATATAGATAGATTCCCAAGATATATTGTAAAGTTAAAAAAAAAAAAACAAGCTGCAAAAAGTATGCAATTTTTGTTTAAAAATACAAATACAAACTTATTTTCTTAAGGAAATATGTGTATATATGCATAATTATATGTATGTATATATATGTACATTATATATATATAGTGTGTGTATATACATGTGTATCCTGAATTCAGAATCAAGCACTTTGGGTGTAGGCCTTCACAATCTTTTACCCATGCATTTTCATAGATATTCCTTATATGTCTGTGTGTGTGTGTATATGTATGTACATGTATGTCTGTGTGTACATATATTGTTGTTGTTAGTTGCCATGGAGTCAATTCCAACTCATGGTGACCCCATGTGTGTAGAGTAGAACTGCACTATAGGGTTTCAAGGCTGTGAACTTTTGGAAGCAGATCGCCAGGCCTGTGTTCCCAGGCGCCTGTGGCTGCATTTGAATTACCAACCTTTTGGCTAGTAGTCAAGCACTTAACCATTTGCACCACCCAAGAACTTCATTTATGTATGTATATATATCTGTGTGTGTGTGTGTGTGTGTGTGTGTGTGTGTATAACATATAAATATATAAGATATACCTAAATATGTATATATAACATTTATATATAATATATACCTAAATATATATATAACATTAATATGTAACACATAATATATAAATGTAAAAATATATATAACCTTTAATACAGTATATAAATATAACACACACACACACAGACCCATAAGGAATATTTATTCAAACGCACGGATAGAAGTTGGGAAAGCCCACACCAAAAGTGGTCAATTCTGGAATGTAGGCAAGGAACCAGGACAGTTTAGTTGGTGGCTAACTGTTTTGATCTTTTTACACGGAAAAACACATTCATATTTCACCTGTGTAATTAAAAATTAGTTACCTATTAATCTATAATTACAAATTGTGTTAAATAACCGTGAAAAAGAACATTTCGGAATGGAATTCGTATTATTGCCATATACTGCTTTTCAATAAATATTTAATAAACCATTCTGTACTTTCCGATCTCCTGGCCCCACTGCCTGCGGTCTCCACCTTTCCATCTCCCCAAGCGCGCATGGCATATTCAGGCAAACACCCACCTGTAGGCATCCCACCCATCCCTCAAGGTCCGCTCCAAATGCCACCTTCCTCACTCCGTCTCTCCTTGGAGGAATGCCTCCTTTACCACATTTACTGGAGTCCGCCTAGCCTGAATAGACTGCAGCCTCCTCAAAAGGAAAGCCAGTTTCCTCCATGGCCCTTGCGGCACCCGAAGCAGTGACTAGCACTCAGAAGTGTTTCTACACTTACCTATGCTATTTAATTCATTAGATGATGTGCTCCTGGGCTTGTGCAGTCATTCATTCAGTCACTCTCTCACTCAACAATCATGTAATAAGTGCCTACTCTGTGCCAGGCTCTGTTCCAGGTGCTGGAGAAAGAGCAAGGAACCAAAGAGATAAAAATCTCTCTCCTCCTGGAGTTCACCTTTAGGATTATAGCATGTTAGATGGTGATAAGGAGAAAAACAAGGTAGGCAAGGGGGCTGGGGAATGGAGGGGGGTGGGTGGGAGTGGTAGTAAATAAGCTGATCCGGAAGGCTTCACTTTGGATACAATGGAGTAAACAGCAGAAGGAGGTGAGAGTGGGAGCCATGAAAAGTTCTGGGAAGACAGCATTCCAGGCTGAGGGATTAGGAAGAACAAACCACAAGGAGGCCAGCAGGACATTGTGGCTGGTGTGGCAGAAGAACTGGAGACAAGTCAGAAAAGTAGGATGGATAGGGGATTGCATATTGATTGCCTGGAACCTTCTGGCCATTGTAAAGACAATAGGTTTTACTCAGAATGAATCTGAGAGCCACTGAAGGGTTGTGAGCAGAGGAATGACATGACCTGGCTTCAGTTTTAAAAGGCTTATTAAAACAGGTTGATAAAACCAAGAGCACTCATAAAAATAGTAACCTGGATATCCTCCTTTGCTGAAATCACCCAGATACCTAAGTGTGTCCATGTTCTCAGGTTACTTTTACAACAACAACAACGACAATAATAGCAATAGTAAGGAGGAAAGATAAGAGGGGCCTAATAAAACGATGTATTAGCCTCTGCTGTGTGCAAAGGTTCTCACTCTACATATGACTTTTACGACTTACATCATGGTGCTATTTAGTTCTGCTGATAACCTGTATATTTAAATTCATTTGGCAGATGAGGAAACTGATATCTTCAGAGGCTAATTAACTTTCTAACTTACTAACTTCTCTAACCTGAGGTTCTACAACTAGAATAAGGTATTCTAGCCCAGAGCGCTCTAACTGCAAAGCCCATGCTCATTCTTTTCCAGTCTTTTTTGAACTAAGAGATTGATCTTGGCTTTAGGAAAATAGAGAATAATAATAATAGCTCTCATTCCTTACCAGTTGCCCTGGAGTGGACGCCACTCATGGCAAACCCATGTGTGTCAGAGGAGAAATGTGCTCCATGGGTTTTCAAGGGCTGTTTTTTTTCAGAAGTGGATAGTTAGTCTTTTCCTCCAAGACGCCTCTGGGTGGACTGGAACTACCAACCTTTAGGTTAGCAGCCAAATACTGTTAACTGCTTTCACCACCCAGGGAGTCTCATTCAGTAAGTATTTATGAAGTACCAAGCATTTTATATGCACCACCATTCCTGTGCACCTAGGCGGGGCAGGTGGAGCCCTGGTAGAGCAGTAGTTAAGAGCTACATCCCGCTAACCAGAAGGTCAGCAGTTCAAATCCACTAGCCGCTCCCTGGAAACCTTATCGGGCAGTTCTACTCTGTCCCATAGGATCGCTATGAGTCAGAGTCGACTCAATGGCAACGGGTTAGGCACGGCAGTATCCCTACTACCAAGACCGGAAGTCTCTGTCTCCCAGCGGTGACGTGGTGCAGTGGTTGAAAAGGTGATCTCTTGCAACTGGCTTTCTGGGTTCAAATCAGCACGTCGACTACCCAGCTGTGCCGCCTTTGCCTCCTCCGTTTTCCCATTTTTCAGATGGAGATAGCAGTACTTACTGACAAGTGTATTTGTGTGAAATAAATAAGCCCTCACTAATAAAATGCTTCAGCCAGGTTTTGGCACACAGTAAGCACTCAGTTAAAGCATACGATTTTAATAGATACCATTGCCCACAATCAGAGTCTGGAAGAAGCTCGCCAGCTCTGTACCAGGTATGACACCCACAAACATGTTCGCAATCTCTGTGGGCCCTGCCAGGGTACTTATTCATAAACTCGTTGCCATCAAGTCCATTTCGACTCCGAGCGACACTACAGGGCAGAGTACGGCTGCCTCACAGGGTTTCCAAGGCTGTAATCTTCATGGAAGCCGACTGCCCCAGTTTTCTCCCATGGAGCGGGAGCGGCTGGTGGATTGGAATAGCCGTCCTTCCGGTTAGCAGCTGAGCGCTTAACCACTGCGCCACCAGGGCGCCACTTATTCATAGTTGGGGCCCCACCAATCCCATTGCCTTCGAGTGGATTCCGACTCATAGCGACCCTATAGGGCAGAGGAGAATTGCCCCATACGGTTTCCAAGAAGCCGCTGGTGGATTCGAACCGCTGATCTTTGAGTTAGCAGCCGAGCTCTTAACCACGGTGCCACCAGGGCTATAGTTAGGCGGGAAGGGGAAAGAATGTGTGTATAGTCCCAGAAGGGGACAATTCCTACCGAATTCGTCCACTCCAAAACGGAGGTGGCTCTAATCACCAGCTAGACCGCGCAGTGTAGTCAAAACGCGCGCGCGCGGAGTTCTCTGCGGAAATGTACCTTGGCCTGGGCGATCCTCGGGGAAGTTCCTTGGGCATCTTCTCCAAGATGGAGGTCAAGCGAGGCCTCGGAGGGCCCTGAAGGAGACAGGGCTGAAGGTGAGTGGCTGAAGAGATGAGCACCAAGTCGCTGACTGAAGGTGCGCTCCTCAGACCCCACCCTCCACCGGACGCTGGGCCTCGGAGAAGAGATTAAGGCCGAGCGGCGCGCTGATAGGCGCACAGGGAGCGACAGAGATCAGACGGCCACAAAGTTCCCTTCTGTAATGGACCCAGACTTCCAGCACCGAAGTTTCCTCAGAAACCGGAAACGAACCAATGACACACGTTTCAGAGTGTCCTAATTCAAATCCTGCCTCCACTGCTCGCCCTCTGGAAGCCCTGTTACCTCACCTCCCCTGCCTCACCTGTAAAATGGGAATCACAATGTCGCCCAACGCCTCAGGCAGTTGTGAGGCTATGTGAGATAATCACAATGAAGCCTTACCCGTGCCAGACACATGGTGCTCACTCAGTAAACGTCAGCCAACATGGCACGGGCCATTATTCTCTCTGGATGTCTCCCTGTCCTAAAAACAGCTCTTCAGTTTAATCTTTTTGGCTCCTTTGACAGCGTTTTTTAACAAATCTGGTTAGCACATTTTGTTGACATATTTTCACAAATACCAAGCCTGCGTGTCTTCTTAAAAATATTTTAAGAGATTATGTTTTGTTCCCACTTGCTTTGAGGAACTACTCTGCCGGGGCTGAGTGAGACGAAAACAGTGAAAAGCAAACGTGGATAATAAGGCCATGTTTTCTGAGCTACCCTCCCCACTCAAAAAAAAAAAAAAAAAAAAATTCAATTGCTGGATGTTTAAGGGCCAACATGCAGCTAAGTATTTTCTTATCAAGTTCCTTCTTTTTTCCTCTCTTCTGATAAACATAACAGTAATGAGATAGTTTTCCTTCTCCTGCCTCAAATAAAACACACAAAATCTGTCCCACAAACTTGTGCAAACCATTACAGTTGAATATTCTAGAAGGATTTATAACTACATATGCTATATTCCTAAAAGAAAATAAAAATGCCATCAACAGAAATAAACAGTTTCTGCAGCAGTTTTATTTGAAGTCTACAAATAAAAACAGTGTGTCCCCAAGGAAACAAAGTAGAATTTGGAGTTGCAGCTAAAATGGCTCTGGCTTAATCCTCTGTTACCCAGTACTATGGTGCTGCGTTTACAGGAAACGCCTGCCACCAGAAATTTTGTGCTCGTTTTCAACCAGTTTTTAACTGTATTTCTGCATCATCAACCCAGCCATATGGAAACAAATGAAATACTCAGCTTTAAAAAAAAAAAAAAAAGATCATAAGGGAAACGAGGAGAAAGCTGACCTGTTCATTTCTACCTTCTTCAGGATGGGTAGAAAGGCATGAAGAAAAGCAGGCTCCCCTCCCCCACCGGGACTGTGTTGCCTGGCTGGGTGGAAACTGTCTCATTACCACATTTTCAACAAGTCAAGCGGTTTCCTCGTTTAATCAAAGTTAGTTTGTGGTTGTTTGGCAGTCTGTGCGTGCTATGTTTTTATAGCTATAGAAAATGTGTATTTATTTATTTTGAGATGACTCTGAGCATACGACAAACGTTAAGTCAGCCTCTTGCAGCCAGTGATTTATAAGAGCTCTGAAAAGCACTGCCTTTAAACATTTTAATAGAGGCTCTCTCATCCTTTGTAAGTGGAAGTGTAAATTGGTACAGTTCTTTTGTAAACAACTCAGTAAGAAGAGTCAAGAGCCTTACAAATGTTCATACATTTTGGTGCAATAGAACTCCTGGAATCCATCCCAAGGAAACAGCCCTAATCAAGGAAAAGGCATTATGAACAAAGATATTCATGGAACGGACTTACTAAAGGGGGAAGAAAAATATTCTCTCTCTTTCTTTCTCTCTCTTTCTCCATATATTTGCGGAGCCACACAAATAAATGATGAATGCTAAGTCATCTAAGTTATCCCCACACAGTGGAATATATCACGTACAGCCATTTTAAAATGACAAAGTTTTGAAAAAAATATACCACTGGGAAATAGTTACAATAGCAAATGGAAAAATCAAGATGCAAAATTGTACTTTTTAATGAACTGTAAATCTTTATATTCGTAAGCAAAAAGAGATGGTATCAGTGAAATGAAAGTGTTAACTTTGGTTTTTCTCATCAGGGAAATTTTTTTATGGACTGTGCATTCTGTGATATCCAGGACTTACTGTGAATTTCATTAGCTGTAATAATGACATTATAGGTTATTAGAGAAAATATATATATTTTTAGAGATGGTATACTGAAGCACAGAGGAGGAGGTATCTTGGAATATATAATATTTTGGAATATTATATCTTGGAATTTATAATATTTTAGCAAAGGAAAAATTGAAGCAAATGGGATTGACATCTTGGAATTATAGAATTGGGTGTTGGCCATATGGAATCAAATTGACAAAAGCAGCTCAAAAGATTAGATAGGAACCTTAGGGGACAATGAGTTTATGTTAATTGGGGAGGAACAGCTCAGAAAAGAAAAATGAGAATGATTGCACACCTTGAAGAACGTCACCAATGTCACTGAATTGTACTTGGAGAAACTGTTGAATTGGTGTATGGTTTGCTGTGTATATTCTCAACACCATGAATAAAATAAATTAAAAAAAAAAGAATTGGGTGCTGGATATATGGGGGTTCATTTTACTATTCTCTCTACTTTTGTGTAAGTTTGAAAATTTTTATAATAAAATTTTAAATTGATCGCCCTTGGGTAATGTGATATGCATGGTTATTTTCCACTTCTTGCTTTTCTTTTTTTTTTCTATACTATGTCTCTCTTACCTTTGAAACCCAACAAATTAACACTAATTTTAGCAAATAAGAATTCACAGTCCCACAGAGATGTTTTTATTGCTAAGTAATTCTAGTAGAATCCTCAGAATCCTATGATAAGCCTGTGTACCTTAAAATGTTAACTTGTAAATGGTCCAAATCTTCTCTTTGGGATAGTACCCTGACATCTGAGACGAGGCAGTAAATTTGATCAGCTGATAAAAAGGCCAGCTGCAACTAACCATTTTAAAGATTAGAAGCCTTTTAAACACACACATACACATACACACCACCTCTTGCTTCTTAAATATTAAGTGACAAGACACTTTGGTTTCATTTCTAAAGTTTCACGCAACAATCATGTAAGCAGTGCAGAGTTCAACATACCGCCAAGCTGACTCAGAAGGAAGGCTGCCACATTCCTTAATTAGCAGCATCAGAAAGCGCCATTTCCTGCTGTGGAAGTCTCCCGTTTCATCCAGCTATTCAGATGGATCAACATACCCCACAAACTCTTGTAGAGGATTGCCATGAAGTCTGGAAACACAGTGTTATTTTACTTTTTTGTTTAGTTTTATTCTGTTGTGCTCTATTCTAGTTTATTCTATTCTAATTTTTACAGAGTAAAGGTGTTCTTGATGAAGGCATGCATGTTCTTTGTTTGCACGCTTCATGGACGTGCTATATGTGTTGAGATCACAGTGGGAGGCAGAATAGATGGAAACTTGACCAACTTGAAAATACAGCTTTCTTGGTTATTGATAGTTAAAAGGTTCAAAGTACTGGGCCAGAAGGTTTTATGTTTTTTGTTTTTTTTTAACAACAAATTACTTAAATTAAGTTTATGATTCTTATTAAACTTCCCTGGCAGGACTCACACAGGATGCAAAAGCATCAGGAAGATTTCCAAACAAGATTACACAGTTTTCCAATGTGATATATTTGATCACGTTTCAAAAGGCAGCGGCAGCGCTAATGCAACCGTCATTGAAATGGCAAATTCTCAGCAAACATATTCTCCTTGTAAATATTGGATTTAACCATTGTAACAGTTATTTATTTTGAACTTCAGAGGTTTTAAAGAAATGTAAAATAACTTTAATCAGGTGATTGACAGATGAGACAGACACTTAAAAAATATTTGGAAATACATTATTTTTTGCAGTTTCAGGAATCCCAAATCTGTCCTTGACACATCATTCCATTTTCCCCTTTTACTCTTCTCTTCTTTAAACTGTATCTTTTCAAAGAATTCTTTTCTTTGATCTCCAGGTTGATAGATTAATTTTAAGTCCTGTAGCTGTAAAGGAGCTCTGGTGATGCAGTGGTTAAGAGTTCCCCTGCTCACTGTAAAATGTTGGCAGTTTGAATCCACCAACCGCCCCCTGGAAGCCCTATGAGGCAGTTATTCTCTGCCCTATAGGATCGCTATGAGTTGGAATCGACTGGATGGCAAGAGGTTTTTCGGGTAGCTGTAAATAAGAGGACAGATAAGAGAAGCCCATGGTCATATACCCCAGGAGAAAGTAAGCTTTTGTCTTAATGACAAACCTGCCTTCTCAGACATCTAAGAGGGAGCAAAGAAGGTCTGCTTAGGAATTGTATTTCTTCTAACGACATTTCTGGCATTTGAGAACTTCTGAGACTATTTAGTGGGGTAGACTAACTCTTGAGAATAAAGAGCCTTTCCTTGTATGCTTCTGATCCCGGAGAGTAATGAATTAGCTCTAACCATACATGGTAATTATAATGAAAAATAGATTTTTAAATGCATTTGCTTTAAATAAAACTTACGTCAAGTAGAATCCAGAGCCAACTGCACACTGGCTTCAGCTAAAGAGAGTGTGGGCTTTCGGTATTCTCTGGTCATGTGAGAACCATGGTTTGACTCGCTTCCTGCCTCAGTTTCCCTGCTCCTCTCTTATATCACAAGACGCTATGAGGGGGCATAAAAACCTTATAAGAAAACTACCCCATGACTATGATCTTGTCTTCATGGAGACATAACTATGTCATGTTGTCAGACATTATCTTGAACCCAAGACGCTGAGTCTTCTTTCAACTTGAAAGAAAACAAGTTGAGATAAAGTTGTTCTTACTAATATTTCGGGGGCTGTTACTGATATCTAAGGGATAGTTCTACTCCTGAAAACAGATGACATCTGAATTTAGTCTGATGTTCTGTCTTCTTCCATTCGTATTTATCAGAAAACAATTTCTGTCCTCCTCTGTACTTTCTCCAAGTTGTTAAAGACTTTTATGTCTCTCTTGGTTTTCAAATATACAGCAAAACGCTATAAACCCATCAGAGGAACACTGAATTTTACCCTGAAATAATTCAGGGCTTCTACTGTCTGGGACTTTGGGGCACCCACTATTCACAGTGTGTGTTAGTGTATTCCATTGACACGATCCAGTGTGGACGGTGCCCATCCGCAGTTCTTCAATGAACTGAAATAATCATGGCAAACTTGTCATAGTTTGGGCACAACCACTGCTTCTTCAGTATCTAACCAGGCCGCTGCCTGGTGCCACTGTCTGTTAGATAACGACCTATGAGACCTCCTGGCCGTGTTGATATTTCTTGGCCTATCAGCGGATCCTTAGTTGGAATATTCCCTTAGTCATAGAGACTAGCCGTTTATTGCGATGTTCTCAGCAGAAAATACATTTGACGATAATAAATGGTTATTTCAACGTGAATGTGAAAAAATATAGACACCTACTCTTCCTTTTTCGGAGCTTCAGATGGTTTTGCTGTTTTCTGATTCTTAAACTTTAAACTGTTTTTAAGAGTGGAAATCTGATTTTTTTTAAAATCCTTCCTATGACGTTTGAATATTTAAATCTTTTGAAACCTTTTACAGTTTCTGACCAGCCAATGACATGCTATATCCTCTGTAATTCATAAGATGAAGAAAATAGCAGAAAACTAGAGAGATTTGGCCAACAAGGATGTAATAATCTGGCAAGGGAATTCTTGAGCAATAGTATATGAGTTTGAGTTTAGTGGAACATTTGAAAGCAATTAAATTTTTTTTCCCCAAATTTATTTTTGTCCTTTTTACTTAAGCACACTCAGGCATACCAACTGAAAAATAGCATCACAAGTATAAATGGATCATTATGCTGATCAAACCAAGAAACTACCTCCAGGGTCTTTAGCATATTAGGGTGGAGTAGCTGTAATCCATTTTCAGGCTTATTGTAGGTCACATCAACCCTTCAGGAAAAGCAAATCATATCCTTGGTATTCAAACGTAATAAATTTTTACTGACCTGATACAGAATGTCCCTCATAGTATTAAACATACCATCTTGCAAAGTGTGGGCATAGATGTTGAGATGATATCTATGTGGTTAAACTATAAACGAGTGCGGAATAAGTGTAAATAGACTATAATACAGGCCACAGAACTATTCAGGATAACTTCACAATGAAAGTAGAACATTTTTAGGTCTATGTACCTGCCGTATTTCAAATCCAAGAGTTCTCAAATTTTACAATGTCCCTTAGCAAAGATTAGAGGACATACTCTAGTATGCAAT